ATTTATTCATCCATTGTTTTTCTCTAAAGCAGTATTACAATCATTACAACTTTTTTGGTTGGGTCACAACAACATATTGATCAAATAATTGTCTTTCCAAGAGTCAGTGAGTGTTCCATCCACATGACTGATTAAGCAGTGCCTATGTAAGAGCAGGTTTTTCCAGCTTTTTTTATAATTTCCAACAACTCGTCAGGAGACAGAGCAGATGTTACATACACTCTCTGTTTTTCCATGTCAATTTCAATGTTGTCAATACCCCCTGGTAAAAAAAAGAGAAGATTACAAGTAACAATAACGAGAACTCTGTTATTTGTCCTCGGTAGAATTTATAGCGTTAATGCTAATGGGGCTGAGCAAATGCATGAAACAAAATAATAATCTAAATCAAACATAACAGCATTAAGAATCCCAAGTGGCTGGAGGGAAACCAGCTATTTACAAGCATGGCTGAGGATTTAAAATCGGGACTACCCTGAACAAATTCAGCTAGTGGTCAGAATGAGACTTGAACTTGGGGCGTCTGAATTGCAACTTCGGTGGTCTAACCACTCGGCCGCGTTGAAATGGTTAGATTCATCTGATCACAGTGCCCTATAAGCTAACTTTGAAATTGAAAAGCACCTTATCTCTTTAAGCCCCAAGATCCATATACAACTTTTCCAAATCAAACTCCATAAATTTCTTCGGAGAACTACTTCGGGGAAATTCTAGAAAGATCAACGTGTTTTCACTTAGGGGAATAGTTTATTTACTGTCAAAACCTTCACTCTTGATTTTGTTTTGATATGGAAGGAGAAAATTGATGTTGTGTACCTTTTTTATTCAGCACACGGGTGACAGCTCCAGAGCAGCCTTCACATGTCATTTCCACCTGAAACTCGTGACGCTAGTGAGTTAAGAAAATAAAAAGCAAATAAATTATATAGCTTGGATACTGAAAATAGGTACAGAAATTGTGGGAAGGATGTCCCTCCACACAAAACCCACAGTTGAACTGGATCAATATGGGTATGTACTATTAACCTGCAAAAAAATATATGAAAGGGTGCATACAGGCGCACTGGATTTTCCAGACGGTTTTTCTTCCGGGCACATGAGGGCGCACCGGACATTAATGGGTTAATTAAGAAAGAAGTAACTCAAAATAAAGTGTTGTATGAGAAGGCTTCACCCCAAGGTCCCTTTACCCTTTTTGATACTACCATATCATTTTTGACAGAGAAGGTAGCCTTTCCAAAAATGGCCACCCTTTCACAATGCTACATGAAGACCTTTTGCAAACCTTGTGGACAAAGTTAATAAATGATATTATGGGAGAATATCCCGGGGGGGGGACTCCCATATGAAACAGACAGGGATGCTCGTCGTCTCGCTTAGGGATGTAAATTTTGGATTTTGGTCTTGCTTAGGGTGTTCCGGGTAAAGTGCCAATATTTTAAGCTGCCAAGGTCTCGTTTAGGGTTCCGCGAAGAACTTGAGATTTATGACAATGCTTTTAAAAACTACTTTTACATAAAAGCATTCGATGATTATGTCTTTATATCATTAAAACTCATTGCATGTCGTATTTGTGTGTTTTTAAGCGGTCTCTTTTAGGGGTTAAAATTTGCTTAAGCCACGCCCAGATTGGTCTCCTTTAGGGATAACAAAAAGCTTGAGCCACGCCCAGATGGTCTCCTTTAGGGGTTAAATTCAAAATTTCCGACGAGCATTCCCGTCTGTTTCATATGGGAGTCCCCCCCCCCCGGGGAGAATATCCAAATTAAAATGATACTGCACATAACATGCAACTGTTCAAAATATTTTAATTAAACGCCCTTTTTAATTCCTACATGACAAATTTCCCTGCCTATTCACATACTTCAACTAGTGACATCCCTACCCCTTAAAATACCTGAACCTGTAAAAGGTACCCCCCTTTGCCGCAGAGACTCCCCGTTAAGGTTGTAATAGGGAGTACATACACCACACCATATGAATCAGGAGCCCCTGGATCCCTCAATCCACCCCGTACAATTTCACTGCTTCACCCACCCCCACCCACAATCTCTATGTTCTGTACTTCCTTGTTTGAATACATTAGGAAGAAAATATATTTTTATCATCTAGAATCAACACTGTTTTCATCTTCGTTTCTCAGTTGAAATCCAATGTCAAGAAAACTCTCAAATATGAACGTGTGTTCATTATCAAGGTTCGAATCAAAATGTTTTTTAACACCAAGAGTTCACTCTATTGCTGTTGCCTTATTAGCTTTGACAGAAGCATATGCTTCTGCTTTTGAAAGCTTTAAAGAGACATAATAGCAAATTTCGAATGGAAAAGGCCAAAATCAGGCTATAGAATAAGCATCTGTTTACATATTCAGAAGGAGGTTGAATTTGATATTGTTTACATATTGTTGAAAGGAAGATACAACATAATCAAAACAGCATTGTAGAAACATCGTCATCAAAGAAGAAGAGCAATCAACGCAGGGAAGATGTTTGGTCAGCTCTGATTTAGATAATTTGGCTTTCCTTTTTGTCTTAAACTGACCTAAAATGATTCCTATGCTAAGTTAATGGCAAATAGAGAAACTTACTCATTTACAATCACAAAATTATACTTACAGAAGCCATTGCACGAGAACAAAAGCACTTGCGTGGCTTTCACATGTAACGAGTGTAACTGCAAGACAGTCTGGGAAGTGAGACGTCCGATCACGGTTTAAGCTAATCACCAGGGTAGGGATGGGATGGAGCCGTATTCGTTTGGCCAAAATGGGTTTTAAAAACATTCCATCTCTTCCATTTTCAATTTATCAAATGTTTCAAAAGGCTGAACTTTCATGCATAATTTTTTTTGTTTATTTTTCTAGAAAAATCCAAATTTAAATTACACTATGTTACCCAATGTAACTTTCCTTCTCCACCCCATTAATAAAACCCCGACAAAACACTTCTTCACTCTACCCCTGTTACGTCACTTGCGCAACAGGTACAGAGTGTGACACAATCGTCTTTCAAAGATGGAGGGGTCAGTCGAGGTTATTGTCATAGGTGGCGGAATAAGCGGTCTCTGTGCGGCTAAATTACTTTCTTTAGAGCATGGAGTTAGTGTTGTTGTGCTGGAAGCTAGGGATCGTGTTGGAGGACGAACCAATACTGTAAAAGATCCTAAATTTAAATACACCGATTTGGGAGGTGCCTACGTTGGTCCAACACAGAACCGAATTTTACGCGTTGCAAAAGAGCTTGGAGTGCAAACCTACAAAGTCTACAATGAAGGCAAAACCGTTGAGTTCCTAGGTGGAAAACGACGAGTTTTTGCTGGCGATGTTTCCACATGGAACCCTATCGCCATTTTGGACTATTACCACATGATTCGCACGTTGGATAAAATGGGTGAGGAAATCCCATTAGACGAACCCTGGAAAGCACCTAAAGCTACAGAATGGGACAGTATGACGGTGAAAGAGTTCCTCGACAAGACCTGCTGGACCACGTATACCAAAAAGCGAATGGCGCAGATTTACAATGACGCAATGGCGGCAGAACCACAGGACATGTCTTTGTTGTATTACTTGTGGTATCTCAAATCAGGCGATGGGGTTCTTAGGGTTGCTGCTGTTGAAAATGCCGGTCAAGAAAGGAAATTCATAGGAGGATCCCAACAAATCAGCAATCGAATTAAAGACAAGCTTGGAGATAGGGTGAATTATCTTATCTACTTATTCTTAAAAAAATGTAGTGGAACCCCATCTGCATCCAAGGGGTGGAGTCCCACCCCTTGCTCTAAGGTTGGTAGGTTTTTGAAAATGGCCACTTTATTTTAACATTTGCCAAAAGGTGCGACACAACATTAATTCTCCAAATTTCAATTTTCAAAGGGCACTGATGAAACGTTGAGGGCTGGTAATCTAGCCGTCTGCGGGAGGCGGGGTTGCAGATAAAAAATGGAATGTCCCCACAGGGCCACAAAAACGTGGTGAATATAAGAAGGTGGTAACATTATCAAGATTTTCAGATAAGAAAAGGACTAAGTTTTCGAACTTTTTTGTTATAAGAACAGATTATCAGAGTGGTCATAACGTTGGTTACCAGGAGAAGTTGTCCAGCAGAACCTAGCAAAGCATGTGGGTGGGGGGGGGAGGCAGTTGTCAACTGGTAATAGTGGTGAAAAAACAAAAGGGAAAAAAAAACAAGTGCAAAAGGGAAAAAATAAATGGAAAGCTTGAATTAGCCAGGACTCCAACCAAGTTGGGATGACGTGACAGGGTGACAGCTCTGCCACAAGGCCACAAAATCCTAGACCCTCGATAAGCTTGACGCAAGGAAACTGCAGACACCAACCCAAAATGCATATTATAAGGGCCATTGGGATTTGACCTTACTAAGCGATCAACCCTCAATGCAAATTCTGTAATAAAGAGATGACATGAGTTTCCTAGTTGCAAAAATTACTCACACCTTATTACTACTTGGTATATTAACTTCTACATGCAGTAAACCACCTGCAGCAATAAGCAAGAAAATCTGTGTTAATCTTGCAGGTTATTTTAAACAGTCCTGTTTGTCGCTTGACACAAGATGCAAACAAAGTGGTTGTCACCTGTGAAAATGGTAAACAGTATCAAGCACAGTTTGTGATAAGTGCAATGCCACAAGCTCTTCTCAACAGTGTGTCATTTGACCCACCCCTCCCTCCCTTGAAAAATCAGCTGATTCAGAGGATACCTATGGGTTCAGTCATCAAGACTGTCACATTTTACAGGGAAGCATTCTGGCGCAACAAAGGGTTAGATGGAGTACTTATATCTGACGCTGGTCCCTCATATGTTACCGTTGATGATACAAAACCCGACGGGTCATATCCAGCAATAATGAGGTCAGTGCAAAATTCCCTGTTAGCTCCAACAGTTTTGTGTTTTGCTTGATGGTTCCCATAACATAAAATATATTATTTAAAAAGTAGCTACTAAAACAGGTAACATGTTTATGGTGGAAGTGCAGTTAGCCCTCTCATCAAATAATATAAGAGACAAAACTCAAATAAAGTGTAAGAAACAAATCCAGCAAGTGGTCAGAGCAGGAGTCAAACCCAGGACAGCTGGTTTGCGATTCTGACATGCTGTCCACTCAGCCACCCAGCCACCTGGCCAGCCGGCCCCTTCAATTTTGGAGTAGTACATTCAATCCTCTCTAAAGCTAACCATTCATAATCCCTATTTTTCCTTGAGGCAGCCTCATTGATTTCATTTAGTGAGCTTAATCTGGGTGGGTTGACTCTGTGAGAACAGGGATAGAAGAGATATCATTAGGGGATGGAATTTTCTTGCTTTGAGACACCCTCATCCCACTTTCCCATGGTCAATTTGCAATCTCCTTGGATTTTCCCAGCCCTGTGAAATGAACATTGTGACTCACAATAATGTGATAGTGGATATATGATAAGTATTATTGCAAATTTTTGCCTCAATCTGTTATTTTTAGTTTTATTATTGGTAATCAAGCACGTTATTGGTGTACAAAGACTCAAGAAGAAAGAAAGCAAGCAGTTTGTCAACAGTATGCCAAAGTATTTGACAGCAAAGAGGCGCTTCACCCATATCATTACATCGACAAGAACTGGCCAGCAGAGAAGTACTCTGGGGGATGTTATGTCAGCGTTATGCCCTGTGGTGTGATAACAAATTTTGGAAAAGCTCTGCGTGAACCAATAGGCAGAGTTTATTTTGCTGGTACAGAAACTGCTACTGTCTGGTCAGGTAACAGCTGTTTTAAGAATTAAATCATTTTTAACAAAGGGGACAGGGCAAGGATCCAGTTTGTTATTTTTTAGCCTCTGNAAAAAAAAACAAGTGCAAAAGGGAAAAAATAAATGGAAAGCTTGAATTAGCCAGGACTCCAACCAAGTTGGGATGACGTGACAGGGTGACAGCTCTGCCACAAGGCCACAAAATCCTAGACCCTCGATAAGCTTGACGCAAGGAAACTGCAGACACCAACCCAAAATGCATATTATAAGGGCCATTGGGATTTGACCTTACTAAGCGATCAACCCTAAATGCAAATTCTGTAATAAAGAGATGACATGAGTTTCCTAGTTGCAAAAATTACTCACACCTTATTACTACTTGGTATATTAACTTCTACATGCAGTAAACCACCTGCAGCAATAAGCAAGAAAATCTGTGTTAATCTTGCAGGTTATTTTAAACAGTCCTGTTTGTCGCTTGACACAAGATGCAAACAAAGTGGTTGTCACCTGTGAAAATGGTAAACAGTATCAAGCACAGTTTTTGATAAGTGCAATGCCACAAGCTCTTCTCAACAGTGTGTCATTTGACCCACCCCTCCCTCCCTTGAAAAATCAGCTGATTCAGAGGATACCTATGGGTTCAGTCATCAAGACTGTCACATTTTACAGGGAAGCATTCTGGCGCAACAAAGGGTTAGATGGAGTACTTATATCTGACGCTGGTCCCTCATATGTTACCGTTGATGATACAAAACCCGACGGGTCATATCCAGCAATAATGAGGTCAGTGCAAAATTCCCTGTTAGCTCCAACAGTTTTGTGTTTTGCTTGATGGTTCCCATAACATAAAATATATTATTTAAAAAGTAGCTACTAAAACAGGTAACATGTTTATGGTGGAAGTGCAGTTAGCCCTCTAATCAAATAATATAAGAGACAAAACTCAAATAAAGTGTAAGAAACAAATCCAGCAAGTGGTCAGAGCAGGAGTCAAACCCAGGACAGCTGGTTTGCGATTCTGACATGCTGTCCACTTGGCCACCCAGCCACCCGGCCAGCCGGCCCCTTCAATTTTGGAGTAGTACATTCAATCCTCTCTAAAGCTAATCATTCATAATCCCTATTTTTCCTTGAGGCAGCCTCATTGATTTCATTTAGTGAGCTTAATCTGGGTGGGTTGACTCTGTGAGAACAGGGATAGAAGAGGATATCATTAGGGGATGGAATTTTCTTGCTTTGAGACACCCTCATGCCACTTTCCCAGGTCAATTTGCAATCTCCTTGGATTTCCCCAGCCCTGTGAAATCAACATTGTGACTCACAATAATGTGATAGTGGATATATGATAAGTATTATTGCAAATGTTTGCCTCAATCTGTCATTTTTAGTTTTATTATTGGTAATCAAGCACGTTATTGGTGTACAAAGACTCAAGAAGAAAGAAAGCAGGCAGTTTGTCAACAGTATGCCAAAGTATTTGACAGCAAAGAGGCGCTTCACCCATATCATTACATTGACAAGAACTGGCCAGCAGAGAAGTACTCTGGGGGATGTTATGTCAGCATTATGCCCTGTGGTGTGATAACAAATTTTGGAAAAGCTCTGCGTGAACCAATAGGCAGAGTTTATTTTGCTGGTACAGAAACTGCTACTGTCTGGTCAGGTAACAGCTGGTTTAAGAATTAAATCATTTTTAACAAAGGGGACAGGGCAAGGATCCAGTTTGTTATTTTTTAGCCCCTGTATGGGTATTTCCAAGGAAATAGAAGTCACAATGATCTCTATTGATGAAGGGATGATCTTAAAGATTAAAGCCACAATTGCTTTGGAGTATCAATCAAGTTTGACACCATTAGTAAGACAATGACGGCAAAGAATCCTGCGAAAAAGTGTGCTGCACCTTTAGGGTAATTATTTTGTATTTCTCTCACTTCCATTGTTGTTGTGATTGCACTTAACTTGTTAGTAGCATTACCTTGCAAAGCAATTCTTGATATGCGACAATTTTGGCTGAGAAACTGACAGTTTGATTGGAAGAAAGCAACAAAATCAACATCTGCAGGTACCAACACAGAGGCTTATTTTACCATACCCCATTTCTGCCAATTGGGCAATAAGTTGTATGTTCACAAAATGCAGACTATGCAATATTTATTCCAATCTACAAAGAGCCTTCGGATGCATCTGTGATCCAACCGTTTTCCAGTAACTTGAATATTAAATAATATTAATTATTAATTATTAGTATAATAATAAATTTTAATGTTCAGAAACTTTTGATATTTAACAATAGTTCACAACTTTTCT